ACTACTTTTTCAAAACACATATCCAGTCAATCTGTGTGTTTCTATTTCATTATGCAGTGTATTGTTCAAATGTGATAAAAAGATGCACCCTTTTGTTGTAGCAATTACTGTATCACTATTGTCCTTGTCTGAATATTCACAGTTAAAACTATTTTTCCCATACAAAAACATGACACTTCACTTTGTCTTGGACAATGTTTTTTTCAGCCCCTTGAATATTTTACAGAACCAAATCCAATTCATAACAGAAAGCACTGAAGGAACAAGAAGCACCAAAATGTGTCCAGCTGTGTGCATCTGTTTCACCTGTAATGTACAGTGTAAAACTCGAAAAAGTTATCGACTTGTTTAAGATTTTTTACGAATACAAATTGTACAGCATGTATGCAATTTTTTTTTTAAATGTATGCCTCGTAGAAGAATTTGTGATGCACGAATAGCTAAAAGTTTTCGACTGGTTTCCTATATTTACCTGATCATAGTACCGGTACATATGACAGAACAAATAGATGAATAAAAGAATTCTCACAACCTACAAACATGGCGAGCCAAAAAAAGCATCCTCAGAGATTGAACAACAACGTTTGGCATAATAAGAAGCAAACCATAACAAAATGTGAAAAAAAAAAAAAATAGCATCTTTTAACCTTAACTTACCAGCCATGCCAAGAATACTAATATTCCATTAACAAGGTACACACTCGACCCCTTCATCCCAGCTGCATCGAGATACCTTTTCAAAATATGCAAAAATGGTATCAAAATTGAGACTCGTGCCGTAAAAAAATCATGAACGAGTAACGAAAAAAAAAACACGTATAAATGATTTTTTTACCATCTCAAATTGATCCAAGGGGTGGTTGCCTCGGATATTAAAACCATCAAAGTGTAAAACTGAGCTTCGCCTGTTAGCATAGCATAACTCACAGCCACGAACGAGAGAAAATGATGAATTACCTATGCATCGAAACAATATCTTAACACGTGATAAAATCCGTGTGAACTAAGGAAAAATGAAATTTCAGAATTTCTTTTTGAAGTACAAATTTTTATTTTTATTTTTATTTTCCTTACATACTCCATCCCGCCTAAAGAAGGATAAAACCAGATTATCATGCTGAGGTCGGAAAGGAAATAACCGATCGATACCTATCAAAGACAGATGAAAGTAAGAACATACTTTTTACTTTAATCAGACATGTTCGAAGAGTTACAAGAATAAAAGAATCGCACTCGTTGAAAGCTTAAAAGGAAAAAAAAAAGTTTAAAAAGAGAAGAAAAGATAAAACGTACCCCCAAAACACATGTGGAGATAGTTGAACTCTGAAGAGTAATCGGACCATTGTTCAAGTTACCAGTGAAAAGATCAGACCAGAAAACAAAGTAAAACGAGACAAACGTAATGAAGACAGCATGAAATGTAGACATTGCTCTGCATATAAAAAGTGAGAACTGTTTAAAACTGATATTGCGTTTGTTTTTCATTTTTTTTATTTTTTATTTTTTTTTACATAAAGAGAATTAAGAGAATGTACTCACCGGTTGCTCCACTCAATTTGTCGAAATTTTGCGAGCTTCAAATAGCTTTTGAAATAAACGGAACTAAACAGTTGACTCAGATCATACACCTGAATATAAGTGAATTCCCGATAACTAATATCATTTGTCTCCAAAACAAAGATTTAGTATAAAGAAAATAAAAAGTATAATGGTGAAATGTGCATTTTGGTTGGGAACATGTGTTGTTAGTTGTTACCGTTTTGCAAGCGAAAATTCCGATCATCACAGAGGTGAAGGCAACAAAGGAATCAGCTGAGACATAATTTCTGAGAAGCACCTCAGCTTGGTTTTTGTGAGATCTCATCAACATATTACTTTTTTTTTTAATTGGAACTGAAGTACCAAAAATAGCAATTATCAAATGAGCAATTTAACACCTTTGACGTGCATAATTGTAAGATTATTCACGCCCGAATGCGGGATATAAAAATGCATGAATATATCATTTTAAATGAAAAGATGGTTCTTATTAGATAATTCTCCATTATAATTGTACAACAGAACAATTATATGAATACTTTTCACAACATTAAATAACAATACCAATATCATTGAAACTCAAATTGTTAACACCTCTAACAACTCTTAGGCCTCCAAATCATTAAACAAAAGAAAAGCTGAAAACTTTTTCATAATCCCAGTAAAGGAATTTTAGATTCCCATACACTTCCTTGCAGAATTCTATCAAGACAGCCTAAATCTTCAGTTACAGATACGACATATTCGAAGCCCATGAAAACTTTCTAACAAGATCCAAACTTTAATAACACACAGAAAGTCGAAAGTGAAGGCCAACAATCGACAGACTAATGCAGAAAGCACACGAATTAAAAGGGAATTCCCAATTTATGATCCAACAAAAGATCTTGTCTTGGACAGAATAAACAGCTATTAACCCCAACCATCGATTGCAAAGCAAGCAAATTACAAACCAGAAACTCAAAGACGATAGCTTTATGCACACCCAAACAGAAAAGCATGAGAAATTTTAGAAACCTATACTCCCTTCTTGCTTAACTTTATCAAGATAAGATAACCCAAATCTTCAGTTACAAACATGGCATCCTTAAAATTTAATAAGACGCAAAAATTCAGAAGTGAAGGGCAATTAACAACAGACTAATGCAGAAGGCACGCGACTTGAAAATTAGTGGTTTATCAATGGTCCCAACAAGCCAGAAACTCAAAAGACGATAACTTTATTCATACCCAAGCAGATAAATGGAAGAATCAGAAGCAGAAAGGTAAAGAAACAGAGAAAGAAAAAAAGTTTCATAATAGACATACAATATACATACATACCAAAAAGAAAGGTGGCAGAAAAATCTGGATTGGGGTTTGTCGCTGTCGAGGTCGAAAAACCAGTGGATAAAGTTCGCTTTTTATTGGTTTTTCGAAGAAGACTTGTCTTGGTCTCCAAGGTTGAGGCAGATAATATAACTTTGTGTGTTCGCCTGATTCTTTTCCTTACTCCTTAGCACTGGATTATGCTTGATTGCGTAATTGAACGATGAATTTAAGAAATTAATAAGAGAATTATGTACATTTAAAAAATTAAGATAGAAAATCGTGTACAATTATTTTATACTTACAAATAAAATAATTTATATGTAAGTTGGTGGTGTCATTGACATTCTATATTTACCAACTATAATAAATCTTGTGTGTTGCTTATTAAGTAGACTTTGATCCAATGGATAATTCAGGTTTACAAGTAAAATTCGTGATTAAATTAAAGAAACTTATTAGAGTGATATATTAGTATGGTCGAACCTAAAGCGTAATTGAGTATTAAAGTTGGATCTCAAAATTATGAATCACAATTGAAACTCAATAGCCACGCCTTGATAGAAAGTTGACAATTTCAGATGTGTTTGGTAAGCATATAAGCTAGCTTATTTTATATTCGATTACATTATAAAAACTTGTTGAAATCAAATAAATTTGGTTTCTTATGACGAGAATTTTTTTTTTTTTTTTT